TTTGCTTACTGACAAGTAGAATAAGCTACTTTCTTACAAGTTGTGGAATAGGTTACTCCGCTTAGATTTATATACCATGCTAAATGATAAACTTTACAATGTGGCTAGATTGAGACATTTCAATGAGCCAAGACAAACAAGCAAAATATCACATTATAGCTTAGTGTAAAGTGTGATCCATGTAACAAATGCACCCCATAGTCCCAGCCTGAAACAGCACCCAAATTGTGATAATATTAACACAAGTAGCCAGTTCAAACCTTTACAAGCTAGACTTCTTAGTACTCAAATAGGTTTGGTAATTCACAAGGATCAACACAGAATGAGAGAGAAGAGAAAGAAACCATAAATCAGTTTGTTCTTAACCTTAGCTGATCTTGAAAAGTTGAGCAGGATAAATCTCATTTAGAGAATTACTCCTTGAATGGACTAATTCTAGAGTAAGAGATTTAAAAGAAATGTTTCAGGTAAAGGTGATGGCAAACCATTTTTATATTGTTGTCAGAAGAAAAAATATATGAGATGGACATGACCATGAAGCCATTAGAGGTTGAGCTTCAGTTGAAGAAAGTTTTACAGGAGAGAGTTGTAAAGTTATTTCATCTGATATCTCCCCTTCTTCTCTGTTCATCTAGAATTAATTCTCCAATTCTCAAATATTTGGTGTTATCTTGTGTGCATATTTGTTTTTTTAAGATTGTTCATAGTTTGTTTCCTTTTGGTTGAGGGAGAAGCTCAGATTCCCAATGTGGTCTGTATTTGTTTATTTCTACAGAGATTAAAAAAGCTGCTGGGGCTTTAAAAATAATACATATTTTAATAGTATTGAGCATTTGTATTGTTGACTTTTATTAAGACTGTCATAACACCTTTCTGTCTCACAAAGATTCATAAAAGTCCTCTTGTTCTCCCCTTTTTATTAAAAAAAATATTTGCCTCTATCAGGGTGTGTTTATGTATACATAGTTACTGTATATTCTTCTGTGATGGAACTTCTGTGTCTCAGATGATTCGTTTTGTCATCGTTGAATGAGTCTGTGGTGATAGAACACAATCTGATTGGAATAAAATTGCAGTTAATCCCTGCCATCTCTCTTGAAAGATATCAAATAGGAAAGGGGAGGTAGGAATTAGTTGAACCCATTTTGAGATGGTGACCGAGTCAAAGGTTGTACTAAATCATCATTTCTGCGACATTTTAATAATCTGCCTACAATTATATGGATGCCTGCAGTGCACCAAGCTATCATGGTTTGTTTGCAACTCACCCAAGACATCTCAGTTTTGTAAATGGTATATCAAGCCAAAAATGAGTCATGTTGCCCTTAGTATAATGAGCAAATAAATGATTGCTTGTACGGTAGCTATGAGCCTAGTCAAGATAAGATAGCTTTGGTATACTATATATAGATAGTGCTAGACTTACGACCACAATCGAGCCCAAAATTTATGTTGCTAAGTGAGACATTTAAGTGAGTTTTGCCCCATTTCTTGACAACAATTGTTGTGAATCATTGCAGTTGTTAAATTAGTAGCTCGGTTGTTAAATGAATCTGGCTTTCCCTTGACTTTGCTTGTCAAAAGGTTGCAAAAGTTGACCCCAGGACACTGGGCCCCCCAGAAATATGAGTCAGTTGCCAAGTGTTTGAATTTTGATTACTTGACCATGGGGGGAATGCTGTAATGGTCATAAGTGTGAAAAACGATCATAAGTCACTTTTTTCAGTGCTATTTGTAATAGAATGGTCATTGAGTAAATTATTGTAAGTGAAAGACTCCCAGTATATCTTATGGATATATGTATGCATTATGAAGGTTGATCATCTTGAAATAGGCAACTGGAAAAAGCAACATCAGTCTTCAAAGGGTAATATGCAGAGTATGGAAATACATTTAATTCGGGGTGAAATCTAAAATTTGTTACTAACAGTTCTGTGGGCGTGGCTTGGTGGTGGGGGTTTATGTGACTGGGTGGGCGTGGCCATTTTTTTTTTTTACTTTTAAAACCATTTTTTCTACAGCCTCTTCGGCGAAGAAGTTGTTAAAAAATGCTTTCAAAAGGCTCTGACGATCCCTGCTGATCGGCAGAGGCTTTTTTTTTTTTTTACTTTTAAAAGCATTTTTTCGGCCGAAGAGGTTGCAGAAAAAAATGCTTTTAAAAGTAAAAAAAAGCCTCTGATGATCGTGGGGCTCAGCTGGGCAGGGCGGGGGGGCAGGGATTTTTGCTACCAGTTCTCCGAACCACCCACCTCCATCGCTACTGGATCGGGCGATCCGGTCCGAACCGGGAGCATTTCACCCCTGATTTAATTCATAACCCAGCCCATATAATAATCTGAAATTTCTTTGCTAGAGACATGGACTAGAACCCAAAGATATTGCTACAGATACAAATAACAGATTCATATTAAAGAAAAATGTATATCTCCACAATAGGAGTAGTGGAAACTCATCCTAATGTTCATTGTGGGCCCACATAATTATGAATCTAATTATCTTTAACTTTGACATGAGAAAATAATTTTGAATCCTAACAATGACTTTACATCCTCACACATATTTTATCATACTTAAGAAATTGCATTTTAGGAGATAAAATTAGTGCATTTAATGACTTTTTTAAAAATGGGAAAAGTGACATAGATTTTTGAAACATTCTTAAAGATGGTTTTATTATTTTTATTAGAATGAGATGATTATTATTATTATTATTATTATTATTATTATTATTATTAAAAAAAATCACATGGGAGTTTCAAATAGCTGGCTTGATAATACACTTAATTTCTTTGCCACATGTACTATTGATTTTAACAGGAGAAAATAATTACTGTCTTAGTGAATTACTAACATTAAGGAAGAAATGAATTGACAGATTTAACTCGTGTTTAGACCTCCAGCAGCAAAAGTGAAGATTTATTAAAAAAGAAAGGAAGGGAGGGAGGGAGGGAGAGAGAGAGGGGGGGGAGAGAGAGAAAGAAAGAAAGGAAGGAAGGAAGGAAGGAAGGAAGGAAGGAAGGAAGGAAGGAAGGAAGGAAAAGAAAAGCTTGGTTTTCTTTCTGCTGTTATCCGATATCTCACATTTCAGGTGGCTCTTTGTGAGTAAGCAAGATAAATATGTTTAAATTTAATAAACTTCTCCAGAATTATCATGAAGTACATTGAAGAATTTAGCAACATCTTCAACCAGTGGCCAAGAATGTGAAGTCCCTGTATCTATATAGCCTTTCCAATGAAGAAAGAAAAGCTAGTTCATCCAGATTTTTCATCAGCGAGACTTTTAATATTGCCACATATTTCTAGTGCTCAGTTAGTATTTTGGAATCATTAAATAGAAGCGGATTTCATTCATTGGTGATGCAATGAGAGAGAACTATATTTAGTATTTCTGTTTGTGTGTGCATCGTTGTGAGAAGGAGAGGCAAGTCGATGGTGAGGAAACATGACAAGACTGTCCTCGTATATAGTAACATAAGCTGCTGTGAAATCTACAGTGTGCTGCTAGAAATCAAAAGACCGATTTGCAGAGATGAGTAAATCCTCAAGCTGCGGAACATACTTGAAAAGTGATTAATCATGATTCCAATGAAAATACATAATATCCAGAGAATAGAGAGTAACTTACTATTCAGGCAGCATACTCACAAAGAATCCTATCTTAGTTGATTTTCACAGTTTGACGGTTCATCAGAAATGATGCTTCTATCTTTCCTTGTTATTCTAAATACCATCATTAGATTAAATAGCCCTTTGCCAGGACTGCAAATTAAGCAAAATAGAATAAGATCAAATTTGGATGGCTTCAGATATGTATAACCCTGTCCCCCCAAAAAAACGGAAACTCAAAACTTTCACACATTGATCAATCAGAATAGAGCTGGAAGGGACCTTGGAGGTCTTCTAGTCAAACCCTTCCCCTGCTCAAGCACCCTATATCATTTCAGATAGGTGACTGTCTAGTGTCTTCTTAAAAACCTCCAGTGATGAAGCACCTACAACTTCTGAAGATAAACTGTCCCCCTGGTTAATTGTCCTCACTGTTAGGAAGTTTATCCTTAGTTCCAGATTGCTACTCTCCTTGATTAGTTTTCACCCATTGCTTCTTGTAACTTGACCCCCTTTTCTTTGTGGCAGCCCCTCAAATACTGGGAGACTGCTATCATAAATGTCTGCGTAACGATGGTGGCTCAGCGGCTAAGACGCTGAGCTTGTCGATCAAAAGTCAGCAGTTCAGCGGTTCGAATCTCTAGTGCCGTGTAATTGGGTGTGCTCCCGTTACTCGTCCCAGCTTCTGCCAACCTAAAAAGCACATTAAAAAATGCAAGTAGAAAAATAGGGACCACCTTTGGTGGGAAGGTAACAGTGCTCCGTGCGCCTTTGGTGTTTAGTCATGCCAGCCACATGACCACAGAGACGTCTTCAGACAGCGCTGGCTCTTCGGCTTTGAAACGGAGATGAGCACCGCCCCCTAGAGTTGGGAATGACTAGCACATATGTGTGAGGAGAACCTTTACCTTTACCTTTACCTTTACCTTTACCTCGCTGTTGCGATCTGGCGATCTGGCGAGATCCGGCCATGAATCGTGTGAATCGGGTTTTAATTGTTTTTAATGTTTTTATATATGGCTTTTAAATGCATTGTAAGCCGCCTTGAGGCAGCATACAAGTTGAACAAACAAACAAACAAACAAACAAACAAATAAATAAATACTTTTACTTTCTTACAGTTTTGAAGATCCATTACAGGTGCTTTGAAATTTTGCTTATCTCTGAGGGCTAACAGAAGACATGGGTAGAACAGTTGGTTGGACTAAACAGAGTGATTCACACCTTTGCAGAAACATATGTACGATTGTCAGCATGCATGCAAATTTTGTCAGTTGTGTATTTTAAGGCCGTTCAATAGATCTCGGATTAAAATACCATATGCGGTGGGGGAGGGGGAGAAAGCTGGGTAGCTGAATGAGTGCAATAAACAAATTGCTTATTTTTAATTGCAGCTACACACGGACATGGATCCAGGAAGCAGTAAGATCAAGTACATCTTGTCAGGTGATGGTGCTGGGACTATCTTCGTGATCAATGACAAGACAGGTGACATCCATGCCATGAAAAGACTTGACCGAGAAGAAAAAGCAGAGTACACGTTGACTGCTCAAGCAGTAGATAGGGATACAAACAAACCACTGGAGCCTCCTTCGGAATTCATCATTAAGGTCCAAGACATTAATGACAATCCACCAGAATTTGTAGATGGCCCCTATCATGCGACTGTTCCAGAAATGTCTCTTGTAGGTATGTATGACTAAAAGAATGAGATTTCCACATTTCTTCACAAAGCCTTTTTGTTCCTCCTTGCTTTGACATTTCCAGATTAGTATTCGAGCGAGCTTTCTTTTCCAAACAATTAGTTTTCATCCCTCTGAAAGATGAAATTGTTTGGTGAACAATTAGGTTGTTTTGCATTACATTTCAGGTGTTGTGAGAGTTAGCGTTGCTGAAGCTGTTTATCAATATTTGTTCCGGCACATCTTTGCGATATCATTAGTGTTAGGTTAATATTTATCTATCTGGAGAATTTCTTTTTTTCCTAGTTCATGTGCCGCACTTAGGATCTATGGTTACGTGTTAACATCTCCTGCCCGCCCACTTCTTTTGAAATATAATTAGCTCACAAGTGGTTTTGTGAAAAATGTATCTGAGAGCAAAAAGTCCATTGTTGGATTTTACTCAATTAGCTGTTTGAACTAAGAGAAGGTAAAGCAAAATAAGAAGCACTGAAAACACAGATACTAATACAGTTAGAAATTGTGATAGACACAATGATCTACATCAGCAGTGAAATCCCCTACAGTTCTATCTGGTTCGCTGAACAGGTAGTGCCGGCAGCGGGAGGCTCCGCCCACCTACTGGGATGTCATTACATCCCAGTTTTTTACCATCTGCACATGTGCAGCAGGTTCTGTGCATGCGCAAAAGAGGCATGCATATCGATAGTGTACACAAGCGCCTGCACGCTTCCGTTCCCGAACTGGTAGTGAAGGTAAGTGGATTTCACCGCTGATCTACATCTTTAGATGCAAATGTCCAGTTGGCTTTTCTTTAATAGAGAGAAATGCAATGTCACTTCAAATTTTCAGATAAATTTGCATATTAAACCATGTGGCATATCAAATATGAAGTGACCCATCGGTTTCCCTATAAGTAGAAACTGCTTTATTTGGAGTATAGTGATCACTAATGAGTCTGACAATAAGTTCTATGATCTTAAGCTTTCAGTTTAATCAGCCTCAAGGAGGATAAAAGTGAAGATTTCAAATGCATCCTTGAGCTTTTAGTAGAAAATGGATATTAATTAAACTACACAAATAAAGCCTGCTGCTTTATAGATCTTATTTTGCATTATAATGAAGGTGGACTGAATCATGTAGACCCAGCTTCAAATCTCCACATTGTTGTGAAGGTAAATGACATGACCTGGGCCATCAGGCTATTTTTTTTTTTTTTTTTTGTAGCCTGTTACTTCACAGAACTATTAGAATAAAGTACAGGATATATAATTAAATAACAATGACAGATTGTGACACTTCAAATGAAAAATGAAACCTCCCCACGTTCCTCGCTATACATCTTGTTAACTAGGAACTGAAGAAGGTTTTGTAAAGCCCTGTTTACCATTTCTCAGTTTGCTTTGCAAATTCTGTCTCTGTCTCTCTTTCCCTGCCTCTCTATCTCTCTCTCTCTGTCTCTCTCTCTTTCTATCTCTTTCTCTCTTCCTACCCCTCTCTGTGTCTCTGTCTCTCTCTCCCTACCTCTCTCTCTCTCTCTGTCTCTCTCTCTTTCTGTTTCCCTCTCTCCCTACCTCTCTCTCTGTGTGTCTCTCTCTCCCTACCTCTCTCTCTCTCTGTTTCTCTCTCTCCCTACCTGTCTCTCTGTCTCTCCCCCTACTTCTCTTTCTCTCTCTCTCCTTATCCCCCTCTCTCTCTCTCTCTCTCTCCCTACCCCTCTCTCTCTGTCTTTCTCTGTGTCTCTCTCTCTTTCTGTCTCTCTTTCTCTCTCTCTCTCCCACTACCTTTCTCTCTGTCTCTCTCTCCCTACCTCTCTGTGTGTGTGTGTGTCTCTCTCTCTGTCTTTTCCCCATAACTCTCCCCCTCCCTCTCTCTCTCTCTCTCTGTCTCTCTGTCTCTCTCTGTCTCCCCCGTGCCCGTAGACATTCTGAGGAAATCTTGTTTTATTTGAAGGTAGCCAACAATGTGACTTTCAGCAATTTCTATTAAGCTGTCAAGGCTATCTGCCCATAAATGTTTACTTGGAAAAATGCCTGGATTCTCAGTGTTGTGTCCTGTCTTGGATCTAAAAAAAACCCAACAACAATAGACTGTCCTATTGCAGTTTTAAAGCAGAAGTACCGCCATCCACATTGAGTGTGAGAGGCCAATGGTGCTCTTTTTCTGTCAGCCAGCACAATGAGCTCTAAAAAAGCAATCGTCTGTACTAACTGGAGTGGGCCCAGAAGCATTTGTAAAGTTGAGACTGAGCTGGCTTGTCAATTGAGCTAGCTCTTCCGTAGGTTTGAATGCTTTTGCTCCTTTCAATCGCTTCTGCCAAAATCGGCATAGGAGTTCTCCATTATTGTGTCGGTGTCCATGACTCAAATGTGTGCTTAATATGTTAAGCTCCTTTAATTATACCCCAGGGCACTGAAGGCCTATGGCTTAGGCATTTATATATTTTTGCCAGCACATTGGCAAGAGAATGCAAGCACTTGGCACTAAAAAGAGAAAAGAACAAAGAAAATGTGGAATGTTGGGTGAATGTTAATAATGGCTACAATTCAAAGCAAAGCATATGAAAGATAGCTTCCTGGGTAAGATGATGTTCATCAAATGAAAAGTTTATTGAGTTAAGCTATACATTTCTGTCAGCAGGAGAATAAGATGTTTCTTGTAGTTTGCAAAATTAAAAAAAACCAACAACATGGTAGGAAGTCTATGGAGGACATCACGATTTCTTCATCCTTTTCTAGTTTGACTTTCAAAGACTATGGAGAAGATGATGATGGTCTGGAGACTTATTGTATGGAGCAGAAACGGTTCCATACAATAAGACCTCATCTTTTGATTGAGATGTTTGTAAAATAAGAGGATGAGCATCCGAAGGACGGATGAAGGCAAAGGATGACATGTATAGGATTCCGTCATGGTGGAAATGATGCAACCAGTGGTGCAATGAAATTGTGATGATGTCATTTTGATGTCAGAATAGCTTGTGATGGAGAACACTGAATGAGAAGAGAAACTTTTATGGATTGAGAGGTGACAGTGCTTCTTTGAGATACATTTCCACTTACTTTCTTCTCACAGCAATCAAGATCAGTGTAATTTTGTGTATGCCAATGTGATTTTTTCCCCCTTATAAAAGCAATGATTCAATGAATAGGAGTAGATGGGGAAGCCCACACCACTGTTAGATTTGGGTCCATTAATAGCAATAGCGCTTAGACCTATATACCGCTTTACAGCCCTCTCTAAGCGGTTTACAGAATCAGCATATTGCCCCCAACAATTTGGGAGCAATATATATGTCCATCTAATCATTCCCATGAATGGTGCTTGAAGTAATTTTTCCTACTGCCTGGTTTTAAAAGAAACCCATGCTTATTTTGCTATGATTTTATAACACCATAGTGAAGTCTGTGTGAGCTTCCTAAAGAGTTTTCTAAAAAGCTTTTTTTTTTCCCCAACAAAAGAAACTTTTGTTTTTCTACATTTTGTTCAGAGTACTTGAGTATTTTCTTTTGAATGTCTTTACAATGCTTTTCGGTGTACTTGATCAAAGGACATAATGGAGAAGGCAATAGTTGGTGGTGTTTTCTGATACATGCACACACACACACATACACACTTCCATTGTTCACCCTGACTGCCCAATGAGACTAATTTCCTTCTGATCTCTTTCTTTGGAATTTTATTGAAATGCATGCCACAACCTAATAAGGCTTTTGAAGGGGTGAGTGCCCAGAGAAAAAAAGGGACACACACTCAACCATCTTGCCTTTATTTAAAATAAGAAATTAATTTATTTATTTTGTCAAGCATATATAGAATTACATATAAAAGTATAAGCATGATTGTGAATACATGAAATGTATATACATGATTATGAATACAGGATAAGGATATTTATTTATTTATTGTTCATATTTCTATGCCGCCCACTCTCCGAGGACTCTGGACGGCTTACAACAATCGACAGTATACTAAATAGCATATTGCCCCCAACAATCTGGGTCCTCATTTTACCCACCTCGGAAGGATAGAAAGCTGAGTCAACCTTGAGCCGGTGAGATTTGATCTGCTGATCTGCTGAACTAGCTTCTTGGATTCTGGGGGGGGGATGGTGGGTGCGATGGAAGGATTAGTTCTGACAGGATGGGGGAGAGAAGGGAGTGTAAGATTGTAGAATAGAATAACAGAATTGGAAGGGAGCTTGGAGGTCTTCTAGTCCAACCCCCTGCTTAGGCAGGAACCCTACATCACTGCAGACAAATGGTTATCCAACATCTTCTTAAAAACTTCCAGTGTTGGAGCATTCAAAATTTCTGGAGGCAAGTTGTTCCACTGATTAATTGTTTTTACTGTCAGGAAATTTCTCTTTAGTTCTAAGTTGCTTCTCTCCTTGATTAGTTTCCACCCATTGCTTCTTGAGATATTGGAAGACTGCTATCATGTCTCCCCTAGTCCTTGTTTTCATCAAACTAGATATACCCAGTTTCTGCAACTGTTCTTCATATGTTTCAGCCTTCAGTCCCCTAATCATCTTTGTTGCTCTTCTCTGCACTCGTTCTAGAGTATCCACATCTTTGTATGTGTAATTCTTTGCAGTCATCTGGTCGTTATCACTCTCCCTGAGAGCTCTTGAGGCCATTTGGGGGCGGGGTTTGTCTAAACCCTCAGGATCAACTGTATCAGGTTGCAGATGGGGATGGAATCTTCTTGGAACTGCCAAAAGGACTGTGTTGTAGGCAGGAGATAGGTAGGTGTCTTAGCCTTCCTCCTCTGTTGAGAGATAGCTGCTCAATATTAACATAAATGGCCTCTTTTACCTCACTTCCAAACCAATGGTCCTCTCTATCCAGAATAATCCAGAAGATTCTTGGATGAGAAGCAAAGCATTTTCTTCTCCTTCCTCAAGGGAAAAAAAAAACAACCACCAGTCCAATTGCCTTTTGAAAAAGCACCTTTGGGACATTCTAGTTTAGCATTCCGGTTCCCATAGTAGCTGTGTCTAAGTGT